TTTTTTTGTGGTGGTTTAGTGGACTTTCCTACCTGGGCTAGCTTTGAACTGTGATCCTCAGCTCTCAGCCTCCTGAGTAATTAGACTTATAGGTATGACACCAACACCTGGTTCAACTGGTTTGTGTGTGTGTGTGTATGTACACACGCCTGTGCATGGGTGTGCCCCAATGTACCCCAGTGTGCCTGCCTGCCTGTCTGCCCATCTTTGGGCTTGAACTTAGGGCCTGGACACTGTCCCTGAGCTTTTGTACTCAAAGCTAGTGTTCTACCACTGGCCCATGCCTTTAGTCCTAGCAACTCAAGAGTCTGAGATCTGAGGATTGTGGTTCAAAGCCAGCCTGAACAGGAAAGTCCATGAGACTCCTATCTCCAAGTAACTACCAAAAAGCTGGAAATGGAGCCAGCTAGATTTTTAAAAAAATGATCTCTCTTTTTGATGTTATCTTTCTCAATCAATTTGAGGAGGCACAATAATAATTTGCCTGTTCGTCTATTTAAAAAGATCCAGGCAGAGTTCAGGATGTATCCATTAGTCATGATATACATACATGTACATGATGTACTGGAATGAACATGTAGAAATGAATTGTATAACAAGTAGTGCTTGTGAAACTTGCTTAAATGGTATATGTGAATATAACTTGCTTAAACGGTGTATGTGTATGTATATGGGCACTTATACGTCTAGGTTGTTCTAGATTACTATGGGAAATGTACTTTTTTTAATAATTGTATTTTATTTTTATTGAAAAGATGATGAGCAGGGGTTATAGTTACATAAGTAAGGTAATGAATACATTTATTTTTAATCATTGTTACCCCATCCCTCATTATCTCCCACTTACCCCTTCCTATTCCCCTTCCCCACAATTTGTAATGTTCGTATCCAACATAGTTTCAAGTGAGTATCAATGTTGCTTTGGTTCATCTTTGTTCTACTGTTTCTGTGATTCCCTTTCCCTTCCATGTATTGAATAATCTTATATACAAGACACAAGGTACAGAAAACTAAGAGAAATGAAAAAAAGAGAAAAGGACAAACTACATACAGGGTCTAATAAGAACCTCTTATTTCCATACATTGGAGTTGATACACTTTATTATCTATGGTCCTATGTACTAAGCAGTTGGGTTATTGAGATCACCTGTTCTAGTTCTGACAAATGAGGGAAATCATGCACCCTACATTTCTTTGGGTCTGGCTTACTTCATTTAATATAATTTTTTCTAAGTCTTTCCATTTCCTTATGAATGGAACAATGTATGCTTTCTGACGGAAGCATAGAACTGCATTGTGTATATACAATATATCCTCTTGATCCACTTGTCTATTGAGGGGCATCTGGATTGGTTCCATATCTTAGTTGTGGTAAATAATGCTGCAATGAACATGATTGTGTTGGTAGCTTTGTATGGCCTTGTTTGTGATCATTTGGGCAAATGCCCAGGAGTGGGATTGCTGGATCATGGTGAGCTCTATGTTTAGTCTTTTGAGGAACCTCCATATTGCTTTCCAGAGTGGTTAGACAAATTTTCACTCCCACCAACAGTGTAGTAGGGTTCCTCTTTGGCCACATCCTCTCCATCATCTGCTGTTACTACTTTTCTTGATTATAGCCATTCTAACTGGGGCAAGGTAGAATCTCAATGTTGTTTTGATTTGCATTTCTTTTATAGCCAGAGATGTTGAACAGTTCTTCATGTGTCCCTTGGCCATTTATATTTCCTCTTCAGAAAAGTCTCTTTAAGTCTTTGGCCCACTTTTTAGTGGGGTGGTTGTTTCTTTGGGGGTTTGTTTGGGGGAATTTAATTTCTTGAGCTCTAGGTATATGTTAAATATGAGGCCCTTGTCTGTTATATGGCTAGTGAAGATCTTCTCCTAGTCTGTGGGGTTTTGATATTTCTTGCTAGCTATGTCCTTTGCCATGCAGAAGCTCTGCAGTTTCATTCAATCTCATTTATCCAGCCTTTCTTTGGTTTGTTGTGTTTCTGGGTCTTTACTAAGATAGTTTTGACCTGTGCCAAGGAGCTCTAGTGTTTCTCCTATTCCTTCTTGTAATATTTTCTGCTTTTACCTTGAGGTCTTTGACCCATTTGGAATTGATTCCGGTGCAGGGTGACATATAAGGATCTAACTTTAGTTTTCTGTATGTGTTTAGCCAATTCTGCCAACATTTGTTGAAGAGGCTGTCTTTCTTCCATCCTGTTTTTTTGGCTCCCTTGTCAAAGATTAGGTGACCATAGGTCTGTGGGCTCACATGTGGGTGTTGGTCCTCAGGCCTGTTCTTTAGCCAGTAACAGCTGTTTTTATTACTATGGCTTTGTAAGAGAGTTTGAAATTTGGAGCTTGAATCTCCATGAATTCCTTTAAACTCTTTCTTGGTAAAGCCTGGTTTGCCTTGCAGTGGTTCTCTTTCCTTGTGGTTTGATTGGATTTACACTCTAGCCAAGAGAATGTGGCTGCTACCTAGAATCCCACTCTCAGGCCTGATGGTGGGAGATTTTGGGGATTTGGATTTGTTAGTACAGGGGCAGAGCTGTGTCCTGGGGCTTTCCCAGGTAGCCAGAGGAGGTTTAGGAAAAGTGAAATTTTCTTAATAAAAACCTAGAAACACAACAAATCAAAGAAACGTTGGACAAATGGGATTACATTAAACTGCAGACCTTCTGCATGGCAAAGGACATAGCCAGCAAGAAAGCCCACATATTGGGAGAAGATCTTCACTAGCCATACAACAGACAAGGGCCTCATATGTAAAATATACTTAGAACTCAAAAAATTAAATCACCAAGGACAAATCCTGAAAGAAACAACTGCCTCATCAATAAGTGAGCTAAAGACTTAAAGAGATATGTCTCTGAAGAGGAAATAAGAATGGCCAATAGACACACATCTCGGCTATAAAAGAAATACAAATAAAAACAACATTGAGATTCCACCTCACCCCTGTTATATTGGCTATAATCAAGAAATCTAATAACAGCAGATACCGTAGGGGATGTGGCCAAAAGGGAACCCTGCTACACTGTTGATGGGAGTGCAAACTTGTTTAACCACTCTGGAAAGCAGTATGGAGGTTCCTCAAAAGACTAAACATAGAGCTCCCCCATAAAATGGAATTCTGGGCTTCCATCAGAAAGAATGACTTTGCCCGATTTGTTAGGAAATGGAAAAACTTGGAAAAAAAATCACATTAAGTGAAGTAAGCCAGGTCCAGAAAAACATAGTTTCCATGGTTTCCCTCATTTGTAATAATTAATATACATCTATCTAGGATAGTCCCAGTAGATGAGCCGAATAGCTCAAAAGCTATGGACATATGACCATACAAGATGATGCTAAGATAAGTGAACTCCAAGAAGTCTGTCTTTGTTGTTACTGTTTTTAATGTACTATGTAATTACTTGATTCTTTCGTGTTTTTATTTATTTTCCCCCTGTGGTTTATCCCCTGTTGTCACTGTATCTGATTTTGGTACCCTGGGTATTGTATATACATTTATCTGAATTAGGGAAGGTGAGACAAATGGTGAGACAGAGGACAAAGGGCGAACCAATGCAACAGCGATACTCACAAGACACTGTGTTGGAAATGAACTGTACAACTGGCGGGTGGGGCGTGGGGGGAAGCGCGAGAAAACGAGGGCGGGGGCAACCAGTTCCAAGAAACACGCTTGCTCCCTGACTTACGCACCGGTGACCTTGACAATAAAGAGCTAGAGTTAGGTCGGTGCGCCCTTCTGATCGGGACTTTGGGTCCCCCAGGGAATGGTCCCTGCTGGGGACCATACTCACAAGATCTGTAGCTGGTGGAGCGCTGGGCAGGCGAGGCCTGTGAGGGTGTGCGTGCGTGTGTGTGTGTGTGTGTGTGTGTGTGTGTGTGTCTGTCTGTCTGTCTGTCTGTCTGGTGGGGGTGGCGGTGGGGGCAGCGGGCCGGTTCTCAGTGGGGGTCCTGGTGGAGCAGGGCGCCGGCGGGCCTGTGGATGAGTGGATCGCTGGGCCGGTGGCATCCGCAGCATCTGGAGGGCGGCGGAGGCGGTGGCTGGCGGGACCGCGCATATGCTGGGTCCGCGGAGCCCGCAGAGCGGTGTGGAGGTAGCTCTGGGGGCGTGGGCACTGCGGGGCGCGGCGGGGGGGGGGCTACCCTCCTCCCCGCCCCACGACCGGGGCTGGGGCGCATGCGACTCAGCGGTTCCAGTGGTGGAGTCAGCGGGGACCGCGGGGGATCGCGGGGGACCGCGGGGCGCGATCCGATCCTCCGTGGCGATCCGATCCTCCGTGGCGGCAGACCCGGGGGGGCCCCACTGCTGCTCCCCTCCCCTCGGCCCCACCCGAGGGACGAAGCTTCCGCAGGTGGACCAGTCTGTGACATTCAGAGCGAGAACGGAGTGGGTCTCTCGAGGTAAAGTGTGTCCCCTGGCCCTGAATCTCTGTTTGGTCAGAGACACAAGTTTACCTGTGAGAGCGCCACCGTCCTAAACCTTCTCTGGAAGTGGACTTCGTCGTCGCGTGAATTCACCCCGAGTTTGAGAAGACCCAAGGCCGGGATTATGGGGGACTCTAATGCCTGTTGAAGCGCTGTGCTCGGAGGCTCCGGGAGAGCCCGCCCCGCGTCACATGCTACTGTGTGGTTTTCCTTTTAAAATCCTAGATGCTAGCTGTGTGATGTATGCAGATGTAAGCCTTTCTTTGAGGGCACTAGACCATATTCATTGCAGCGTTTTTCACTGGAAGCAGCAGGGAAGGAATCAGGACTAATTTTTAGACCCATAATTATTGACAGTGGTGTGACTTTCCCAAGTCATTGTTCTTTTCTGAGCCTCATCAGGCTATGAGACAGATTTATCTAAAACCTTAAGAAATTGAGAAAAGCCAGTATTGCTAATGTATCGTGAACAAGAATAATGACTTCCTAATTTCTTGTAGGAAAAGGAGAGGCAGTGGTCACTGATGAGCATTTTCCTGCTGTGTCTCTTGGCCTGTGTCATCACCACAGCAATTGGAGTACTGATTCTCTCCTTGGTTCATGTTAACAACTCTCAGCCTCACTTAAATGTTCATGTGGCATCTCAAGCCTGGCTTCCTCCAACCACTGCTCACAAAGTACAGAAGAAGGTGGTTGATCCAAAATTCCAGTTTCTTAATCATTTACCTAAATCCAAGGTATGAATCCTCTATTCAACAGAAAATAAATGGTGGTTACAAAAGTACATTTCCACTACACATTATTAAGCTTTGTTCTATTGGAAGGGCCAGCAGGATGAAAAGGGGCAAGGGATAGGGAGGAGGGGAGAATTGTGTTGATATTTGCTTTAGGCAAAAATTCCAGGAGATGACTATGTGCCTAGTTGGAGAAGATAATTGCAGTGACAAATGAAATCCCTCTCTTCTCTTGCCAAACTAGCTGGCTATTAAAAAACAACAACAATCAGGATGCTAGCACTGCCTATATCACACTGTACATATCATTACTGTCATTTCTGTCCTCTTGCTGAAGTCTTATTCCTTGTCTTTTTGAGATTTGAAAAATTTACCTCACTACCACTGCCACTTCTGTTCTGGCTGCATGATTATTCTGAGGGGTTCTGCCCACTATGTTGGTAGCTTTCATGCTGATGACTGGCTTGCCCATGCTTTTATTTTTTAGGTGTTTGAATTCCCTGGTGGTGAAATCCAGTGGGCACGGTACAGGAACAATATCAAAGACTATCTTAGTGAAGAAGAGGAGGCCTTTGGCACCAACTTGAACAGTCAGAGATCACAGATAACTCTGGGGACCCTGAGAATAAAAAGCAAAGGACTCCGGGCCCCTCACTGGCACTTCAATGCCAATGAACATGGCTACCTAGTACAGGTATGACAGGTTCGAGAATACTCTGCTCTTAAGCATCTGTGTTGTGTCTCCTCAGGGTATTATTTTAGTTGTTACAAAAATTACATAACTAAGTGATAGACAAACACCCAGGCTTTCAATTAGATTCAGTTAGATAAGTTAGGAGTGCCTTCAAGCACTAGCTTATTTATTTTTGTTATCACTTTGAATTTTTTGCTATAACGTCATTTTTTAAAAAATATGCTACCCATTAAAAAGATCACTTTTAGTTCTCAATTCCAAATCTAAAACTGGCAGCTCTGAGATAATGATCAAAGAAATACCAGTTATCCTTAGGAAAAAAGCAGCAATTGGGATCATCAATGAGCTTGTGGATATTCAGCCTTGTGTATCTCCAAGGTTGCCATTACATGCCTTTTTTTGTTTAGAACTTTTAAAATATTCTAAGTCAAATGAAATCAACACAACTTGGGGTGAAATGAATGTATTAGCTGAGTTTAAGCTAATTTGTTAATTGAAAAAATATGTATAGAACTTCTATATGCCGGACACTGGTGAAACAGTAGTGACTAAGCCCTCCTAGAACTTTTGTAGTTGACTGTTACCATGTAGTTGACTGTTACATTTACCATCTGCAGCCAATTTATGGTGCATTTTTCGTTATTGATAATTAAGAGTACTTTTTATATTTGGACAGTTTATTCAGTTTTAAAATTTATAACAAGAGAGATTAGAGTTTGATCTATAATAAGACTAAACCCTTTCTATTTTTCATAAAGGCTCATGGAAATGAAGTGACATAGTCCATGTTTCTTTTTGCCTTCTCTGTATATACAAAGTTGATAAAGGAGAATAATCTCTGGAAGATTTAATTTTCATATTGTTGGCTTAGCAATGCTATAGCAGTAATAGAAAGGAAAGGCAGTTAAGTAGACTTTCCTCAAAGGAGAGCCCTAAACAAACTCCACACTAGGAAAATTGCTCTGAAGCACATGCTACTGTATACACTCTAGGATATAGCCCAGCCTGGGAATGTAGTTCTGGAAGTTCAAGAAAAGTTTATATCAGTTCCTAAATTCAGACTGTTGGAGTTGAATATTTTCTATGCCCTCAAGAAAATTATGAGATCATTATAATATTTTGGGGTCAGTCCTGGGGCTTGAACGCAGGGCATGGGCACTGTCTCTGAGATTTTATGCTCAAGGTTAGTGCTCTGCCACTTTGAGCCACAGCACCACTTCTGGTTTTCTGATGGTTAATTGGTTGTTTTTTTTTGTTTTTGTTTTTTGGGTCCAGTCATGGGGCCTGAACTCTGGGCCTGGGCGCTGTCCCTCAGCTCTTCAGCTCAAGGCTAGCGCTCTACCACTTGAGC